ACAGGACGAAAAAATTATATTAAACAAACAGTATTCCAAGAATACAAACAGGAGATGTACGAAAACTTCTTGCTTATGAATGAATCATTCTCATGATCATTCTTACATTCAAATCTAGAAACAAAAAGAGAAATATTAAAAATTCTAGATTTCAAAGAATGTACTCGTGAGGAGTACGTAAAGAACTTATGAATGAATCACCATCTTGATCATTCTTACAACCAAGTCTAGAAACATATATACTAAACAATCTAAACTACAAAGAATGTACTTATGAGAAGTACGTAAAGAATGTACTCATGACAAGTACGTAAAGATTGTACTCATTAGGAGTACAACCAACCGATTCTAAAAACACACTAAAACACTCATGTATTCTTTTCAGCTCTCGGTGTTTATTTATTGGAATCAATCAATTTCCTTGAGTATTGAAATCGGTATTTATAGACATTTCAAGCTTCTACTCATCAGCCCATGATCTGCAAGAAAACCAACTACAAGAGCACTCAAGAACATGGGTTAGTGGGTTAGTTTAGTAGTTAAAATAAAATCCACACAATTTAATCCACTAAGCACTACTTAGCCCACTAAGTACTATACTTAACCCACTAAGCACTACTTATTCAATAACTAAAATTTAGTTTAGAAAATAAGAAAGTTAAAAACAAAATGTGGAAATAATCCACGTGTTTCATAACCGTTTCCCAATAAATCCCCAAGCATGAAATTAAAGAAATTAACTTTCAAGTGTCGTTACTACTATGTACTGTAAATTGTAGCTAACGGACAGATACTAATCCCCATAGCTTACTATTAGTCTTGTTACATTTCCATGCATACAATTAGCAATGTACAAATACCGGATGCATATAAAGTATACTATTTCCGTCCTCTCACTATTGTTCGAACATAATTAAAAAAACAGGGTCCTTAAATTAAGAGACAAATACGAAGAAGAAAACTGGGAATCTATTATTGTTGGAGTTTGTTATTAGTCAATCCATTCAACACACTGTGATTAGTGTGTGACTCTGTTTTCTTCCATGAGAGAGAAAAGAGGAGAGAGAGAGAGAGATTGAAATTTCGTCAACTCCTTTTCAACCTACAAAAGAAGTCTTAGCTTCCAAGTTCTTCATTCTATAGAAATTGCAAGTCACTATTAATCATAGACTTGCTGACTTTTAATATATATATATATATATATATATATATATATATATATAATTTTTTAATTGTAAATGATTGCTGTAATGCTGTTATATTTGTATTTGGTTCCCTAGGTTTTATTTTTCAATTTTGATAATTAATATTTTTTTTTGAAGGAAAAATTAAAATATAATAATTAATATTACTAAATAGAAAATTAAATTTGTCATTTTGGTTCCTCAAATATAATTTATAGTTGATAGTAATAGTATGGTTACCGTGCTGAATTAGGTACAGAGATCAGTTGGTGTATATATAAAATAATTGTCCATTAAATATAATTAATTTCTCTCCTTATAATCTCCAACAAGAACTTTTTTATCTGATCAGCATCCTGCACTCCACCATGAACTCCCTGCAAGTAATTATTTGTTAAGCCAAGAAATAAAAACATCATTTATGCATATTTTTTTTATTGAATAATTTAATTTATTTATTTTTACCTCTGCAGATGAAGTAAAAAGAATGGCTTCCTGTGAGGTAGTAATGCAGATATCAGTGAGATGAAATCCAATCACACTAATTGCTTCCATTAGTTTAGTAAGCCTTCCTCTCTTCTTTTGGACGATAATCTTTATCCATATCTTCGTCCCGCAAATGTGGTTTACCTCAACTTCCGGCTGATGCTCCAAGTGATGATAATTAAGAACAATTAACTATAATTAAGAAAATATCATTAAAATGTATTTTATTAATTATCATATATACCGCGAGTTTCATCTGGTGGTCGTCATCATTAATATTAATGTCTTCAAATTTGGTGTTCCTGTCTTCGTCGGTAGCCTCCATTTGGAGTATTTGGTCAGTAAGCTCTTCGACGGAGTTTCTTAACTCTTCAATGTAAGCGATTGCATCGGTTATTATGGTTGCTTTGTTCATCTACATACATCCATCATTAAACTTTCAAAATTAATAAAAGTAATATAGAATAATTAAAAAAAGAAACCAAAAAAAAAAGGGTTTTGACTTCCTGCATTTGTGATAATCGGGACTAAGGAGCGGAGCTCGAGCTGTCTATCGTTGAGTTTCTTTCGCCTCCTTCTTTCAGCCTCGAGGTTTTTGGATATGAACTCTCGGTCAATGCTATTGTCTTCTTGGTCAATCTTCTTTCTCTTATCCATTCTGCTCCAATTTTTTCTGTCTCGATCAGTTATGCATAAATCTTCGAATGCAGTATCCATCCATACACGACAAAATGTATATATCGAGGGATTCGTTAAGTGAAATCCGGTGTCAATTAGTTTTCTTGGGATTGCAGAATAGATGTAATATAGCAGTTTGATATATATATATGATATGGTATGAGGAGTGTTGTTCACAAGAAGAGCACTTTAATTTGTGGAAGGAAGAGAGAGAAGGGGAATCTTTCTTGTTGTAGTTTGTTAGGCATCTATTCAACGTACACAATTATCAGTTTCTTTGGTCGTTGAGAGGCTCCTTTCTAGCATGAGAGAGAGAGAGAGAGAGAGAGAGAGAGAGAGAGAGGTTGTTAAGCCAAGAAATAAAATATCTAAAAATTTTATATGTGATATATTTTTAATTATTTGTCTTAGGAGTGGGTTAAAACCTAAAATTGAATAATATGATTAATAATTAAAATCAATTAGTCATAAGAATAAAACTCATAAAAATTAAAATTAGTGAACGTCATAAGAATTAAAGTCATAAGGATTGAAGCCATCAGAAAGAAAGCCATCAAGGTTAAAAAGTCAAGAGAATTAAAATCAGTAAAAAATCATAAGAATTATAATAAGTTAAAGCATTAGTTTAATAATATGATTAATAATTGTTTAGCACATGCATAATAAGAAGCTGTCAGAAACTTCAGAGCCATCTTAATTCTTAATTACCCTCTTGCTTAGTGCTCTCTCCGGTCCAATATCTCGTCTCAAGTTATTAATTACCTGTTAAGAAAATTAATAAATATTATGTTTTATATTAAAAGAATTAGAATATCATTAAATTACTACAATCGCTTCCCCATCACTTGTACAAAATAAGAGAAAAAGAAGGCAAACATTTCACCACCGACTATTGTGATTTGTTGGTGTATTATCAAATTTTATAGCATGTTACAGTGGGTGAAATACAGCGGGTAAATCATTATTTTTCATATACACAAACACACATTTGTATTCATATTGGTGTGTGTAGAATAGATCAACAGCGAAAAATAATCCGATGTAATCTTCATTGGGTGTAACATAAAAATAATTTATAAGGTGTTTCCACATCATATATATACGTAGATTAAGTGTGCAAATACATTCAGTGTATTTCGTTAGCTATGGCATCCAGATATACACTTCTAATAATACTCTGAAATCATCATATATATAATTTTACCAATATTTGTTAGAATATTGCGTCGAATTTACATAATTGAGATTTATGAAAATAATTTGTTGAAAATTTCATATTTTTTGTTAAATTATAATAGTTATCTAATTTTCAAATAGTTTTTGTATAAATTTTGTGATTGATTATAATTTCATTTCAAAATATGAATAATTTTTTTTTTCTTTCTAGTATTATATAATCAATGTGTTTCAATTATATATGTTGCATAATTCTTTCTTTCTATGTTAGATTTACCAGAAGATCTACATCATTTGACAAGTAACGACTACCTCCTATATATAATTACAGTAAAAAGTATAAAATCCATATGTGTTAAGAAAAAATTGCGCTAAATTTCTCTGTGGTTTTTTTCTTGCGTTAAATCCCGTTGTGTTTCATTTTATTTTGTACAAAATCCCCTTTCCCGTTAAAAGTTAACTTCGTGAACTAGAGAAGGGATTTTATGCAAGTTTTTTATAACATAGGAGGATTTTGTGCATGGTTTCATAACCATGCATGGTTTTGCATGGTTATGCAAAATTAATTATATTCATTTAAAACTCAAATTATTTTTTTAAATAAAGTAGTATACATCTATTAATTTAAAATATGAAAAACTAAAAAAAAAATATTCGAGATAGAAAGTGGAACGAATTCTCAAATCATTCATGTTTTTTTCACATATAATTAATCCACAATAAATTATAAAAATATATAATAATTCTAATAAATATTATATATTTTAAAAACTCAAAATTTTCAAATACATTAATAAATTATAGCATATAAAAATTGATTTAAAAAAAAATCACCATACCTATTAATTTCTATTTTTCCTATTGTAACCGAATAAATGTGTTCGACTTAATTTAAGAAAGTAATATGAAAATTAACGAATAAATTAATTTTGCATAAAACTTCCTTGTATTGTAGAAGATATGCCTTAAACCCCCTATATTATGAAAAAATTACATATAATCTCCTTTGTAGTAAACGGCGTTAACATTTAATTGAAAATGGAATTTCATGCAAAATAAAATAAAATATAAAAGGGGAGTTTGGCGCATATTTTCCTTAGAACATATAATTTGTCACATGGCCAAAAATCTGATTTTCTTTTGCAAGTTACATAATTAAATCATACTTTTGAAATCAAGTGGAGTATATATCTCACATGTGAAACCTAGTGGACAAAAATAATAACCCTATTGTCTATAAACTATTTATATTACATAATTCCTAATAGTGCAACAACATTGAACCAATTTAATTAATCCCATCATCAAAACCAATAGAGACCGATGGCAATTCCGTAAATCTGACATCCCTTTATTCACTTCACTATGGATTCAACCTTCAACTATAAATACCTTGCTAATATCAACATCCAAGGTACACCTTTTCTATCAGCACTCATATTTCATTTCTTCTTACAACAGAAAGAAAAAAAAAAACAGCTCATAATCGACGTAAGCGCCGAAACGGTATGGAGGAGGCAAGAAGATCCGGAAACTACGGAAGGAGCATTTGGGATCACGATTACGTTCAGTCCCTCGCCACTCCATACACGGTAAGGAAAAAAAAAACTTATCTCTTGCTTGATGATATAAATATATATTACTAGTTTCGTTAATTATGGGAAAATTTCATCAAACACGTTTCACGATTGGATGAGAGCATCCGTAAGATGCAAATTTAATATCTGACGATTGTTTGTTGGAAATGCAGGACGAGAAATACGTAGAGCAAGCTGAGAAGCTGAGAAGGCAGGTGCAGATAATCATCGACGAAACCGAAAATCATACGCTAGAGCAACTTGAACTTATCGATAATCTGCAGAGGTTCCATATATCCGACCACTTCGAGGATTCAATCAAAAAGATCTTGGGCGACATTTACCGTGACGAATTTGATGACGGCAAACACGTGCAACACTTGCATGTTACATCTCTCAAATTTAGACTTCTCAGACAAAATGGATTTCTTGTCCCTCAAGGTGCATTTTTTATATCTTTTTTTTATTTAATAACACCAATAAATTTTTTTTTTTAAATCATTTATTTTTATACAGAGGTTTTCGGTAGTTTCTTGGACAAGGAAGGAAATTTTAAGGAGTGTTTTGCTGGTGATGTGAAGGGAGTTTTGTCTCTGTATGAAGCTTCGTTTTTATCCGTCGAAGGTGAGAGAATATTGGATTCTGCCAAAAAATTCTCGACTCGTCATCTAACTGAAAAGGTGAAGCAAATCGAAGACACGATTCTAGCTGAGAAAGTGAGGCATGCATTGGAGCTTCCACTGCACTGGAGAGTGCATAAACTCGAAGCAAGATGGTTTATGAACATCTACAATGGTGACCCTATTCTTCTCCAATTGGCCGCACTGGACTTCAACATGGTTCAAGCCATTTATCAGGACGAACTTAAACAGCTATCGAGGTGCTTATTTATCGTCGTTTTTTAATTAAATTAGCAGAAATGAAGAAATTATGTGACAGTTATAATTATATTATTACCTTACAGGTGGCATAAAGAAACCGGTCTTGCAGACAAGTTGGGGTTTGCCAGGGACCGATTGCCAGAGTGTTACTTATGGGCTGTCGGATATACACCTGAGGTTCGATTTGGGTATCCCAGGGAGTTTATGACCAAGATTGCTGTAATGATTACAATTATAGACGACATATACGATGTGTACGGTACGATGGATGAACTCGAGCTTTTCACCGATACGGTCGAGAGGTAAATTAATTGGTTAATACAATGTATTTATATATTACCAAGATCCTAGTAAGTTTTAATTAATTAATATAATTATTACATAATCAGGTGGGATATTAACGCATTGGACCGCTTACCCGAATACATGCGAATCAGCTTCCTAGCTCTGTTTAACTGCGCTAATGAATTCGCTTACAAAGTTCTCAGGGACCAAGGTCTCATCATCATCTCAAAACTGAGAAAATTGGTATTTATATGCAAATAATTCGGTTTTTTTTTCTTCGTTTTTTCGTTTCTTCTTCTGATCATCTTCTTACATGCATGTACTGATTATGTACAGTGGGCGGAACTGTGTAGAGCTTACTACAAAGAAGCACAATGGTTCCACAGTGGGTATCGCCCGAGCACGAACGAGTACATCAACTTAGCCTGGGTTTCGATTACAGGCCCTCTGCTTCTTTTCCATGGTTACTTTTGCATAACAAATCCCATTAACACCAAGGACCTGCACTTTTTAGAGCAATACCCTGGAATTATTCGTTGGCCGGCCACCGTTCTTCGCCTAGCAGACGACTTGGGCACTTCTTCTGTACGTTTCCAAAATTAAACCACTAATGAAAACTAATTAATCACTAATATATTTATAATTTTTTGGTTTGTCTAATGGAAATTGATTTACAGGCTGAAATAAAACGAGGGGATGTTCCGAAATATATCCAGTGTTACATGCACGAAACAGGCTGTTCTGAAGAGGACGCGCGCGAGCACATCAAGAAAGATCTGATTGATGATCTGCTGAAGAAGATGAACAACGAAATACTATTTATGGATAAGCCCATAGAGAATTTTCAGACAATTGCTATGAATCTTGCTCGGATTGGTTTCAGCTTTTACCAGTTTGGTGATGGTTTTGGTTCACCAGATAGTGACACCAAGACATATATGGTTTCACTCTTGGTTGAACCAATCCCTATTCCATCAACAAGCTCTTGAAGACAATGCGCACCCACTCTGCACCCAAACTTATTTGTCGGAGACGATCGAATAAAGTAATTTGTATTTCTAGTATTTTCATTTTTCATCGAGCTAATAAAGAACTGCAGAAGTTCTGTACTGGTCGAATAAAGTAATTTGTATTTCTTGCATTTTCATTTTTCGTCGAGTTAATAAAAAACTGCAGAAGTCTTGTACTAAGTTTTTTAAAGCAATAATACTATAATTAGTTTTTCCAAGCAACAAATGAAGACAAATTAGTACATGTTTTAAACTACTACAACTCATTTATCCAACACTAATTTCTATTCTATATGTAACAAACTATCATCCGCGCAAAATTTTAATGACGGGCATTCAATTGTATGCCGACAAATCAACTTATAACTGAGATAATTTTCCCAATAAATCCCCAAGCATGAAACTGAAGAAATTAACTTTTAACTGCCACAGTAATATAATTGCGGACAGAAAGTTAGAAATAAATCGAAAAAGAATCAGTAAAAATACAAGTACACGATTACGAGAAGCACCACGATACATAAAGTTGATGCATCTGAGAAAGGCATGGAAGAAGACTTGATGAATAAATTCCAGCAGCCATCACTAAATGATCAACTTCACCATGTGTTCTTTTTCTTTATCTAATTATTACTGGAACAAATCCATGACCAGCACCACATAAAACAAATTTCCCTCTCCGTATTTCGATCGCCGATGTTATATTTATATATGTAGCCCACCAAGCACTCGATTTAAATTTTCAGTAACCGTTTATCTGTGGCCTAGGAGATGAACCTGTTGTTAGGCGAGAAAATGGGATCTGAATCTGGTTGGGAATGCCTCTCAGACCAGAAAATCGATCCTCAACCGTTGGATCGGATACTGACTTTTTCGAAAAGGCCTGAGCCAGCTCAACCGCTGAAGCTGCTTTCCCGTAACGGATTGGGGCATCGGTTGAAGCTGGCTTCTCATGATGATGTGGCTCGACGGGTTTGCGCCAAGTCTCTGGTGACGGGGCCCGTTCCTGCACCTGCTTCTGTTGTTGTTGATTGCGAGGCTTCTCATTGTTTCTCCAAGTCTCGTTTTGCCTGCTCTTTCTATGTGAGTCAATTCTGTTACCGTCCACCTGGTATTTCGTTGTTCTTTGATCGATAGGGATGATGTTACTTTCGGCTTTGTCACCATGGCGTGCATGAGTTGCATGCGTGAATGTGTCAGCCTTCGGAGAGCTTTCCTTCGCCCTTTTCAATTGGTAATTATTGCAACAAAAAATTAGCGATCAAGCATGTTATTGACATTTAAAAAGTAAGATAAGAAAAAGGAAAGAACTAATTCAGTACCTCAAAGGAGGTTGGCTCTCGTAAGTGCTTACATCATCATCAATTCCTCGCTCCTTCAACACCTGGTATTGTGATAATCGTGTTATTAGAAAAATTAAAACCAAAAAAGAAAAAAGCGAAACAAACGGTTCAAAGAACAAATGCCAACTGATTACGCAACACTACAAGTCCTGCAAAACAATATAAATGCCAACAGGAGCAAATATAACTAGTATTTTATGGATAGAGCTCAAAGCATTCAATCCCCAAGCTTCTGCAATGCTATTCCAAAAGTGGAATGTGATGGTAAATGAATTGCTTTGTAAAATGAAAAAAAAAAAAAAGAACTCACTAGTTCTCGTGGCCGAGCTCCCCCAAAAACAGTCCCTCTGAACAACACGAAAGATACAAATCAATATCACAGAAAGTAAATTCGTGTTGGAAATTTTCAAATGGAAACAGAAAAACACAAGTCTAGAGTTAAAAACGGAAGTGCATGTCAGTTACACAATTTATTTCACTCCCGAATTATATAAAATACAGAAATGCTCATAATGTATTCCCCATTTTAGTTGAACTTGAACCTAATAAACTTGCTCCGACTACTGATATGGCTGTGGAGTAGCAGGTGTTGTTACTACTATGTACTGTGAATTGTAGCTAACATATACTAATCCCCATAGCTTACTATTAGTCTTGTTACATTTGCATTCATACAATCAGCAATGTACAAATACCGGATGCATATAAAGTATACTTCCGTCCTCTCACTATGGTTAGAACATAATTTGAAACCATAATTTGAAAAACGGGATCCTTAAAAGAGACACAGTTATTCAGCTGATACGGACCCTTAAAAAACAGTAGTTATATATCAAAAAGTTAAGCAAAAATAAGAAAATAGGATGATACTCCATGCTTTTGAAGTGATTTCTTAACAGAAAGCAGCATCTTCATCATAGTATTTTCACACACATCATCATTTTCCTAGTAATCACTAAGCTACAACATTCAACAATGCATCTCAATGCTATGTATTTCATACGATTATTATCCTGAGTTATTTCTTTGCTTTTTAAGCCTTACAAGTTGTTCCTGATTTAATTGCTGAACCCACCCCCCTCCGACCACCTACCTAAACCAACTAAAAGATAACAGAATACCTCAAAAAACTTGGGAAGGTAAACCAGCATAGCATAATAATTAATGTTTTCGGACTCAACTGGGCTCAAAAAAATTCAGGAAACAGCACAGAAACATCAGAGTGTAAAGTTGTAAATCTTATAAAGCATATACCCCCTAGATTTTCTTTATGTGTTTATTGATCAATCCTATTCCTCTGTGTCGGCTCATTTTAACATCCACACATTACTAGAAAATTTTATTCATAAGATCGTATCTAGAAGAGATATAACAATCAGGTAGAATAGCATAATTAGAAAATTAGAAGAGCAATTTTGAAAGACAAAAAAATTCAAAGTATCTGGACCTTTTGACTTCACTCTTTCCTTTGAGTTGCTCAAGGGGCGGTGATCTCGGCTTCAAATTAAGTTTTGGGCGTTCTTGAGCTCGATCACAAACCACCGATCCAGAAACATCGGATTGCATGGGATTTTTATGTTCACGTACAACATAGTTATCCTCCACATGATGCTGATCACTTGTCCGCTCATATCCCTGCTACAAGAAAATGATGAATACAAATGTGTTTTTGAATCTAATTCATATAACCTGACAACCCAACTGAACAAGTTTACCTGCTTACTGTCAATTGGGGTTTCTAAGTTCTCCATCGGCTTGGATCTTGGGAGTAACTTCAATTTTGGTCTTTCTGATGATTCTGAAGGCAATACAAAAGAAGTTTTTCTCTCTTGCGACTCCACTTGAATGATGGATCTAACCCTCTCATTAGTTTGCATCACCTTTCCACCACCACGAACCCCATCATCAACAGCGACACTCCTTTCAGCATGCCTCGTAAGAGCAACATCATGACGGTCAGAGTCACCAACTACATCCAACGTATTGTACGTTTTTTTATTGTATATGTTGTTGGCATTATACTCAAGCTGTCCCTCAATTTCCGGTTGTCCAGCGTCTTTGAGAGGATTAACAGGTTGTTTTAAGCTCCACCGACCAACCATTTCGAGAGCACTGGCATGAGCCAATTTTGTCTCGGCATCTGCAGCAGATACATGCTCTTTCACGCCAGCAGTCTCCTTTCTCATTCCCCACGCATTTGTAGATCCAGCCACTACCTGCCCAGCATTGCCACTCATAACTAGATAATTCGACCCCTGACCCCGACCGCCACTAGAAGTTTGAGAGTTCAATCTCGCGTTATGCACTTCACTAACCCTTCGTACATAAGAGCTACCAGTTGAACCGCTTGAAGTATGAGACGCGGGGATTGAAGCAGTCGCGGGACTGGTTTGAGCACGAGAGCTTTCATCTGTAACTGTCCGACGAGGGCCTGAAACCCCATCCAAAGGCTTGCGCTCATCCTCATCAAAGTTGCGGCCAATATGCGGACTGTGATTTAAGAAATGAGTCTTTTCATCAAGGTTCCTGACTGAGCCAGCAGACGCAGGGCGTAACCGATTATCCGACCTTCCTGCTGAATTACCCCATGATAACTGCCGATCAAAGCCACTACCACGATCTACTGGTCTCGCAGTTCTGAAAAATGTTACGGAAATCAAAATGATTAAATTGGAATTCTATCGTGCACACGCATCCAGCAACATGATTAAATCATTATATGGGTTTTTGCGTTCCAAATATCCAAAAATGAAATCTATATATATGATGCATAGATCTAGGTTATTCATCTATATAAATCCAGACCTCAAAACAAAACAAAACAAAAATTGATAACCAATTGTTTAATTTTTTCGGTACCATGAAATCTATTAAAAGATTGAATAATACAAGTCAATAATTATAAACAGATAAATGAAACTAATCAAGCCAGATCAGAAGAGATTAGGAGCTATGCCCAAAATCATTTAACAAAATGTATAAAAACACCCAAAAAATTGAAAATAAAAATAAAAATAAAAGGTAGAACGAATCATACATGCCAGGAGCGGAGGGGAGAGGAAGATCGGAAGGAATGGAGCCGCCATGGAAGTCCTTAAGAGTCATCGTCGTCTTCTTCTTCGACATTCTCTCTCGAAAACTAGCGAATCAATCGATTCGCAAAAGTATATGTTGATGTATCGAAAAAAAAAAAAAGTAATTATCTTCTCCCCTTTGGATATAAGATGAATGAATCTGTATGTATATTCGAATTGCAAAATATAAACAGAGGAAAAGATCGATAATTATTCCAGAAACCTGCCTTCTACTGATAGATAACAATTTTGTTTGATGATCCAGAGGCACGCGCGCTCACGCACGCAGTAGAAGGTGAGAGAGGGGAGGGAGAAGAAGTTTGGGCCGGCAAGGGTTTGCAACTTTAGCACTCACGGGTAATTCATCTGCCGATGACGCTTCGAGGTGTTGTACTTTTAATAGGATTAACTTTTTTTTTTTTTTTCCTTACGCTTCCCGAGTTGTACTTTTACTTGTTGTTTATATGTCCCAGTGGAATTATTGCGGACACGCGTTCTCGATTTTCCTATTTCGTCCTTTTTGGATTTTGTACACCATTTTTTTCCCAAAATAATTTATTTGAGTAAATTCCACTTTCACCCATTTACTTTAACTATGTATCACTTTATCTCATTCTACTCTCGATTGCATCGATTTGCCTCTTATATTTGAAAATTGTTTCAATGTGACATCGATGTTAGTTGCCACCTCAACACCGTTTGATCTGAGCTCTAAAATTACAAAAACGCCACCTCAGTTTAAATAAATATTAAAAAAAAAAAAAAAAAACTAATAAAATAATTAAAAAAATCAAGACAACGAGAAAACATAGTCCACGAATGACGAAACCCACCATAATTTATTTTTTATTTTTTTAATAATTAATTTAACTGGGAGGGGTGGTTTTTTTGTAAGTTTCAGACTTATCTCAAACTGTATTAAGGTCAAAGGTCTGAAAACTAGCGACGAGGGTCACGGTGAGACAATTTTTTAAGTAAATAGGGGCAAATCAATGGAATTGAGAGTATAAGGAGGTAAAGTGATATCGAATCAAAGTATAAGGGGAAAGTGAAATTTACCCTAATTTATTTTTTTCGTCTAGAAAATAAAGTGAATCTTATTATATGAAAAATACAATCATAAAAAGTATTATACATTAAAATTTATTTATGCAATATAGGGTGATAGATTAAGGTAGAGGAAGAGGCTGAATCAGGCATGAAAAAACTTGCTCCTTTGTCTCTCGATCTTGAACACCAAAGCCATCTCCATTTTGGTATATGAAATTTGCAACTCTTGCAATGTTCACAATGTATTTGATTATTTGTTTCTGAGAATTTGGAGTAGTATTAATGAATAGCCCATTTATTTTCTTCCATGAATCTGTTATAATGTTCTTGATACGGCTCCGAGCTTCTTCTTCGGTAACATTCTCTTCTCTCATGTAACATATTATTGACGAAGGCGCATCGCCTCTCTCCCCTTCCGCCTGTATATATATATATAATATATATGTGTGTGTGTGATCATTAAACATAGATGAATAATTAACCCTTGATATTAAAAGAGTGTAAATATATAGTTAATAATTACTTTGGAAGTTCCTTGATCATTGCATAGTCGAATAACGAGAGAAGCGTGGCGAATTAATTCTTGGTTGGTATTAAAGGCAAGGAGAGTTTGTGCAAAATCATGGCCGACGCCGAAAAGTAAATGTAGCGAAAGAACGGGGCCCGACGAGGATATCCAACCGTTTTCTAGGTATTCCCCAAGAGATGGAGTGTGGCCCTTGTTGTACCATTTTGCTTCAACTAACAGTGCTTTGCAAAAATCTGTCCACTGCTAATTAACCAAAGGAGTTATATATATATAAAAGAAAAGATGGGATATATGTTATAAATAATGAAAAACAGTACCACTTTTTTGAGATACGGTAAAACCGAGTTCCAGCCTTTCTCTTTCTGAATTTCACGGTCGATGTCGTATGCAGTGTCGTATAGTGCAGAAAAGCATCTCTTAATTGGTTCGGGAAGATGCTGAACTTCCATTGGATCCCATCTGATGAAGAACATAATAAATAAAAACCTTAGCTTGTTTGTATATATATACATACTAAACACACTAATTAAGATTAATATATATACTTTTCTACTGCAGTGGTGAATTGGTGTAGTTCACGGTTGGTGCCATAAATGTCGTAAACGTCATCGATTATAAGTACGAGAATAATGGATTTTGTGAGCCATTTTCTAAGGCTTCCGTATCGAGGCTCGTAAGCCACTCCGACTGCCCACAGAAAGCTCTCCACCGCTCGATCTCTTGTGAATGTTAAAACTTCTGTAAGCCCCAGATTCCTCCACCATCTGCTACTCATTCATATATATAGACAAATAATTTTCACAGCTAATTTAATTTTCAAAGTTTAATTTGTAGGACAATATATCGATGGATCACCTTAAAATGACTTTGAGATCCTTTTGGTGGTGAATTTGAACCATGTTGAAGCTAAGTCGAGCCAGACGATGCAACGTAGACTTGTTATTATTATTACTGACATGTATGTGTTTCTTGGCGTTAAACCAGGCGACACTCCAATGGGAAGGACACTTGTCCGAATACGATTTGTCGTCCATGTCATCATCATTTGAATTAAGACCACTGAAATAACTAGCAATAATATCAAACAGGCCATTTTCACCATCCAAAGCAAGATGAGAAGCTTCGAAGATTTCAGCAATGGCTTTGTCGCAATATTCCGAGTCACGAGCCCTTGTCATACTTAGTTTCTCATCGTGATCATCCAACAATTCAAGGATTGCATCTGTGTTACACGATAGCATCACCTCGTACATAGTTAGTCTAAAAGTGTAATTGTGGGAATTTTTTTTTTCGAAAATTTTAAAATCGGATCGTAAATCGGAACCCTAACATGTATTCCAATTCCGTTATGAAAAAAAAAAATTGGAAAAATCTAAAATCGGAAATTCAGAAATGAAAATTATTTTTCACCTTGTGAAACATGATAGCCGTGCTGCCTCAAGATCCTGAAATACAAAGCAGCAGAGTATAGATCAACGAATTTCGTGCTCTTCGTATAGCGCGCCATCCCCTCCAAGGATTCGCTGATTTCTTTCTCAAAACAATACGAAATCGCTAGTTTGTTTATCTCGTCTATAAGTTCAAGATTGCTAATTAATATTAACGGATCCTCGGACAACGACAACGACACACGACGGCCCACTATAATGCCACGGATTTCCTCTTTCAGTGTCTCAGCTTCTCTTCTGTACTTGTCTTCCTATAAACAAAACCAATTAACATTCATTAGTTGTAAGTAATAATGTCAAAACACTATTATATTAATTAATATGAGCCATGCACGTACTATATATATATATATATGTGGATAATAAACTTACACTGTATTGGGTTGTTATAAGCGAGTGTAGTAGGTTATCGTAACTCCAGATGTTTGGTTTGTAATTGGCTGTTCGCCGCCTTGCAAAGTTGTCAACTGCAGATTCCATGTTCATTAATTGGCTGCTGGAAATTATATATATATATATTATATGTGTGTGTATGTATAAGCTATATATAGGCCGTAGGCTTGCTATATATATATATATATATATATAGAGAGAGAGAGAGAGAGAGAGGATGACTGATATATATATCTGATGAGAATTGAGAAGAAATATGACGAGGTTGATGAATCGCAAAAAAAGATTTGTTTTAATTTATTTATTATTTCAGGTGTTATATTTTATTAATACGTACTGTAGCTTCAACATAAATAAAATGCCTGAAAGCAGCGTGTGTGAACGTTATTTTATGGGCACACAATCTGCACTATGGATTCCATACAAAAATATCTGGCCATTCTTTAAGAGCCGCCTCACGTTTCCATGTCCGTTTGAAAATGAATAAATTAAATTAAATTCACGTGCAGAAAAGGAGATTTTTGTCAAGAGCTTCGGTTCATAATTCTAAAAGCATGTATTTCACAAAGTATTCTCTAACTCGAAGAGTTCACCAGGAACTATATATGTTATAAAGTTAGTAATAAGTACGTATAAAATAAGGGCAAATTACGGTCACCCCTGAGTTATGGTCAAATTACGAAAACTTGTGCCCGTTCGGCGTAGTTGGGACGAGCGATTCATCCTTCCCGAACGCAGCATACAAACCCGGGGCAAGAATATATATTGTGCCCTTAAAAATATAGGGTTTCGGGATAACGGCCCGATTTTTTTTTCTTTTTTTTTTTAATGAAATAATATAGATAAATAATTATTAATTTAAATTTCATTATCAATAAAATATTGAAAATATTAATGTATATCTAAATATATTTTTTTATAAAGCAAATATTAAAAATGTATGAAATAATTTGTGTTAGAATATAACAAATATTCCTCCATAAATAAATTTAGGGATGTTAAATCGGTAAAACAAAACCGAAATTTCGGTACGCCAACATTTCATACCGTTTACTGAACTGAATATACGATTTGGTTCGGTAAATAAATGAATTACATGAATTTGATGTAAAAATATTTAATATGAAAAGTGACAGTAATTACCCAAATAATAGGAATTTTTTCGTAATTTAATCATATTTCAGGAGTGGGCGTAATATGCACTATAAAATAATTCTAAATATATAAAAATTGGGATAATTAGTGAAAACCCCCTAAAACATTTGATTATTTTAAGATGGATATACCCTCATTTTGCATATTAGTGAGAACCCCCCATATTTATATTTTAATTTAGCATAAATCCAAATTTTATATGGTATGTCTATATTACCCTTAAATTACTATATAAAAACACCAAACCTTATTTCTCCAATTCATTCTTCATTTTTATTCCACTAGCCGTCACCTCTCTCGCTTCTCTCCTCTGCCATCTCGCTTCTCTTCCTTTCTCTTCCCTGCCATCGAACCCCATCTCAGCCCAGCGCCTCTCAACTGCCATCGCTCCCCACCATCTTCTCGACATCCCCATCTCCCTAGACGAGGATTGGCGGCGCGACAATGGCGGAGATTACACTGCCCGACAACATCTCAAAGAGGGAGGTATGGAACAACGTTTTAGGCTTCCTCGGCGGCGATCTGATGTGGTGGATTGGTAATTGGCGGATGACACCAGAAGGTTTTTGTCCTTGCTCCACTTGAGAGTGATTGGTAGGTCGAAGATGTGGAGCGGCTGAGACGCGACGCGAGAACCCTGACATCCATAGCACACTAACAAAAGCTCTCCGAAACTGCATCGTTTGATTTCACGAAGCGTGTAGTCAGCTCTCTCTGAAATGAGGGTTTTTTATTTTGTGGTTGATTTAGATAAATTATAGTTGTTTTCGATTTTTATAGTTGATTTCAATAATTTTATAGTTGATTTCGACAATTTTGTAGTTGATTTTGATTTTTTTATATATGATCGAGATTATTAATTTGTAGTTGATTTTATTTGGTACACCTGCTATTGAAAACCACTACTTTTTGTAGTCGTTTTACAAGTTTCTTGTAAACCACTAATTTTTGTAGTCGTTTTACCAGTTTCTTGTAAACCACTAATTTTTTTAGTCGTTTTACAAGTTTCTTGTAGTTGCTTCGGGAAATAAAAAAACAAAAAAATAGTTGTTTTTAGTAATTTAATAGTTGATTACGAAGAAAATTGAGCCAAAAAAATTATAGTTGATTTCAAAGAAAAATAGTTGTTTTTAGTAATTTTATAGTTGATTACGAAGAAAATTGAGCCAAAAAAATTATAGTTGATTTCAAAGAAAAATAGTTGTTTTCGGAATTAATAGTCGATTTGAAAAACCAATAAAAAAATTAAAGTTAAAAAAAAAAGAATTAAAAAAATATGGAAAATAATATATTTAAAAAAACAGTTTTTTTAAAAAATAATTATTGTTTAAAATAAATAAATGAATATTATAATTAATATATATATATATATATATATATATATATATATATATATATATATATTATAGTAATGGAAAGTGACTAGGAGAGAGGGTAACTGTGGAATACTAAACAAGTTGGATCTATCACTAATTATGAACAAGGGACTGGATCTTCCATTATTACAAAAACACTAGAGGGGGTTATGACTCATAGTC